CAACTTTGAGGTGTAGCCGGTTGAGGGAGTCGGCGATGGAGGCGAGGTTGGCCCGGGCCTGGGGTTCGGCTGGGCCAGCGGCAGGGGCAGTGCGGTGTGGTGCGGCAGTGGCAGGCGTGGCGTTGTCCGACCGCTTGGTGAAGGTTTGGGCGCTTATCGTCCAAAGCTTCGTGGCCTTCGTGAGTGGGCCAACGGTGGTGGTTACCTTGAACCGTTCAAGGATGTCCATCACCAAAATTGGGTACGGGAGGAGGTGATCGTGGTCGGTGGACGCGGCGATCGTCATGTTGATCATGACAAACTTTGCCCAATTGATTGGGGCCGAGTGCATGATCGCGTGGACGAGCTTGAGGTCCTCTCCGGACATGATTGTGTGGCCGTGCTTCCGGGGTTTGATGATCTGGGACACGATGTAGAGAACGAGACGGTCTTCGGGGTTAGCGGAGTGGATGGTGGGGCGGCCCGAGGCATGGCGTATGAGCTCGGTGATGCCAAGCTCGTTGAGGATAAGGCCCTCGTTGTTGAGCACCCAGTCCTCTCCGCCATAGTGAGAGACATCGTCGCCTTGGAAGGGAAGGCCGGCGATGCGCCCAAGCTGCTCTACAGTGAGCTCAATCGGCGTGGACTTGACGAGGCTGTAGATGACGTCGTCCTCACGCCGGAGGTTGGAGTAGAAGGCCCGGATCAGCGCCGGGTTGATCTCCTTCCGCGCCCGAGAGACGAACGGCCAAAGGTCGGCTTGATGAAGCTGTGCGTCTAGGTCGTCGTAACCCTGCAACTCCGGGTAGCGCTCCGGGATGATTCGCGGGGGAGCCACAACCCGTTTAGAGAAGAAGGTGAGGAAACGGGTGCGTTCCTCCTCGGAATCAAACCAGAGGTATGACCCGTCGCCGTAGTAAAGGCGTCCTCGGAGGATGTCGTAGGCGCCCGGGATTTGGACTTTGATTTCCCGGAGGTTCCTGCCCTGCCCTTATCTTTGCCCATGGTGAAGAAATCTCAAAAGATTAGAGTAGAGAAGATGAAATATGTAGAGAATTGAAGGAACTTGTGTTTGTGTGTGTAAAAGTGAAGAGAGGGGGTCCTAATATATAGAAAAGAGGGTCCCCAACGACCAGATTTTCAAAAATATGGCTGTTGAAGCATTTAATGCAGTTGCAACGGATATTTTTTTTGAAAAATTTATCCAGAACAGCGATGTTCCAAAGGCTACATCGCTGTTGGGACAGCGCTGTTGAGCCTCTGGACAGCGCTGGTTTGCGTCAAGTTTTAAAAACAAGTGTTAAATGGACAGCGATGTTGGGAATCCTACAGCGCTGTTCACAAAGTTTCTGGAAATATGTACGGGGTTGAACCCATTAGAACAGCGCTGTTGGGTGTCCCTACATCGCTGTTTTACGATAGAGAAAAAATTTGTAAAAATGGACATCGATGTTGAAAGTGAGACATCGCTGTTTGAAAAGTTTCTGGTTTTGGTGGAAAACAAGGTGTTTTGGGTAGACAGCGATGTTTTTGAAAGGAACATCGATGTTAAAAAGTTTCTGGAAGGTGAAGAGTAAGGGACTCCCTGGGACAGCGCTGTTGGCTTGTTGTACAGCGCTGTTGGCACAAACTGGTTGACGGTGTTTCACTCAACAGCGCTGTTGGGTCTCCTGGACAGAGCTGTTTGCATGGTTTCCCCTGATTTCATGAACGGGGTACCTGCAAAAAAAAAGAAAAAGTTCTCCGACGCTCAAGTTAGTAAACGTTTAATAAATTTAGATGCACAACTTAGATCATCGTGGAGTCAAGGATTCCGAGTTCACTTCGAATGCGGCATAACGACTCTTTCTCTAAAGGTTTTGTGAAAATGTCGGCTAATTGGTTGTGTGTTTCAACAAACTCAATTTCGACATCACCTTTGAGAACATGATCTCTAATGAAATGATGCCTAATGTCAATGTGTTTCGTCCTTGAGTGAAGAACGGGGTTCTTTGTCAAGCTTATGGCGCTAGTATTATCACAACGAAGAGGGACGTGATTGATACTAAGGCCATAGTCCACGAGTTGTTGCTTCATCCAAAGGATTTGAGCACAACAACTACCGGCGGCTACATATTCCGCTTCGGTTGTGGATAACGCAACACTGACTTTTTTCTTACTAAACCATGAGACTAGAGAGCTACCAAGTAAGTGGCAAGTCCCACTCGTACTTTTACGGTCTAATTTGCAACCGGCAAAGTCCGAGTCGGAATAACCGACGAGATGACAAGAAGAGCCTTTTGGATACCACAGTCAAACGTTAACCGTGCCGACAAGGTATTTCATGATCCGTTTCACCGCGGTTAAGTGCGATTCCTTCGGACATGATTGATACCTCGCGCAAAGGCATACGCTAAACATGATATCCGGCCTACTAGCGGTAAGATAGAGAAGGGATCCGATCATACCTCGATACTTTTTGACCTCTACTTCCTTACCTTTCTCGTCTTTGTCA